CTTTAGATTGGTTTATGGGCATTCGTGACTTCAGCATGCTGCATGGTGCATCCTCGTCTGATACTGGAGCAGCCTTTCGGGCCGGATTCGGCTCGACACTGTTTGTGTCTCTAGTAGAGTAATCTGGGTTCCGTTTTGCCATCCCTCGCTTTCCGGTAGTGCGAAGAGTAGCTGCATTTTGCACAAATATGTACTGTTTTACTCGACTGCCGCAGTTCCTTGTAAGCTGCACTCGACCGTGCTGTTCCCTCACTCTAGATGCTCACGCTGCCTTCGGATGCAGCATTCTTCTTTGACTCAGTTTTTCTGGGCATCACTGGCACCAACATCTCCGCCTGGGACTGCCTGGAAGCCGGAGTTGGAACCTCAGTCGGGGCCGAGGGCAAACACTGAGGGCGCCACCTTTAGAGTGGGTGGGGCCGAAAACAAAAGTCTGGAGACTCTAGTCGCTACAACCCGAACTTCTGCCACAGCAGCGGCTTTGCTTGGGACCAGGTTGCAACACACTACGTTCCGTCGGCTCGAGCCGAAGCCGCGATTGAAACTTTGTTAACGGAGGTAGCCTTCAGACTCGGTTTGTGGCTGCCTGGAGTCGCAAGCCTGGCCTGTCCAAGCCAAGGCCTGCCCGAGCTCCGGGAAAAACTTCTCTCCAGGCTCTTGGCACGTTCTTGGATGTTTTTGCTTCCCGCGATGTCAGAAGACCCACTGGCACATTGGGTTCAACCTCGCAAGCAGGTTCCGAGCTGGCCTTGTGGGAGCGGCTGCCATGAAACTCTGTGAGGACGTGGCAGTGAAACAAGCTTTGGCTGCAATCTGCTGCGGGCATGGTGATGCACATTGCGTATAGATGTCTGCAAATGTAGGCCAACAACTAAAAACAAACAAGCATGCAAGCAACACGCACACAAACAGGCCAACAAATAATAACGCAAACAGCAGCACACGCACACGCACGCATCATCTATATCTGTATGCGTGTGTGCGCATGTGTGTGTGTATGTATGTATGTATGTATGTATGTATGTATGTATGTATGTATGTATGTACCTACGTAGGTATGTATGCCTGTATGTATGTAAGTATGTGTGTTATGTTATGTTATGTTATGTTATGTTATGTTATGTTATGTTATGTTATGTTATGTTATGTTATGTTATGCTATGCTATGCTATGCTATGCTATGTTATGTTATGTAATGTTATGTAATGTTATGTAATGTTATGTAATGTAATGTTATGTTATGTTATGTTATGTTATGTTATGTTATGTTATGTTATGTTAGGTTAGGTTAGGTTAGGTTATGCTATGCTATGCTATGCTATGCTATGCTATGTTATGTTAGGTAGGTAGCTAGGTAGGTAGGTAGGTAGGTAGGTAGGTAGGTAGCTAGGTAGGTAGGTAAGTAGGTAGGTAGGTAGGTGGGTAGGTAGGTAGGTGGGTAGGTAGGTAGGTAGGTAGGTAGGTAGGTAGGTAGGTAGGTGTGCGTGCATGTGTGTGCGCACGTAAAAAAGTAAGCAAGCAAATAGGTACGTGTATATTATGTATGCATGCATGCATGCATGTACGCAGGTATGTAGGTATGTCAGTATGTATATTTGTCTGCAAGCATGCCTAAGTCTCGTGTGTGTTTGTCGTGTGTCTGTCTGTCTGTCTGTCTGTCTGTATGTATGTATGTATGAATGTATGTATGTATGTATGTACGTAGGTGTATGTATGTATGTCTGTCTGTCTGTCTGTCTGTATGTATGTATGTATGTACGTACGTAGGTGTATGTATGTATGTATGTATGTATGTATGTATGTATGTATGTCTGTATGTATGTATGTCTGGATGTATGTGCACATGTGTATATACGCATGTACACCCACATAGACAGGGCACAGCAACGGACACAGACACCGACATCAGCTCTCCCTTGTCCCCTAAAGGAGATCATCGCGGAAACAAGCAGCGGTTCATCAGCACACTCCGAGAGTCCGGTACTTTCTGCAGAGAATCTTTCTGTGATCAACAGGCCCGGCAGGGTTGGGAGGCTTTCTGCCAGTCAGATGGGCGGCCTGGGTTACTGAGATGTGCCGTTTAGGCTCCAGGTAACCTTGCTCTAGAATGCAAGAATTGGTGCCTCTGTACCACGCAGGTGCTTTAACGCACCCACGGTTGAGGACAGCCAGCCAACTGTCTTTCGATGGTTGTCGGACAGTCCTTTTTTTTCGTGAAAGCTTTGGCATGTCTTTCGGATGCGGGCCAACTCAATCAGCTGTGCGGCGCTGATGGAGGAAATCGTCGTGCGCCTTCGTGCTGAGACTTGTGACTTCGCAGCCGAAACACTGCAGAAGATGTTGCGGCCTGAACCTCGGAGATTTGACTGTTTGGAGCTGATGCAAGGTCGCCGGAACAGCTTAGATTCACATGTATGCGTGCGCAGCTGAGGTCCTGCTCTCCCACCTCCTGCAAGGTAACGCTGCAGGCCGAGAGTCTTTGAGATGTGGAACCGACCTTAGCGCCATGGATTGTGGGGACATCGTAGTTAAGGTCCTCGTGCATGAAGTGGGTTGTGTGTGCAGCACGCTCCTCCAACCAGCCTTTTTGCACCGATTCTTCGGAATGGTGTTGTGTGAGTGAGTCATACTCCTGTCACGGCAGCCATCAATACAAGAAGATTGTGAGAAGATCCTAGCAGCAGCGAGCAGCATGTGTCTTGTGCAGGCCAGTACTGTATGCATGCATGTATGTATGTATGTATGTATGTATATCTATGTATCTGCATATGTAGAAAATATACATATAGACATATACACAGATGTATGTAATCCTGCGCGGGCACGCACCTGGGAGGAAAATGGATGGTAGTGTCACAAACGGTCACCACCATGATTGGTGCAATGGTTTGTGTTGTCAACAGTATTGTTCTGTAACCACGACGACTACTGATACGCAAGACCAATGCCTTTTGCTGATACTGCTACGCCTTCTCCTCCTCCTGGTCCTCCTCCTCCTCCCTTCCCCCTCCCCCTTCCTCCCCTACAGCTGCTACTACTACTACTACTACTACTACTACTGCTACTACTACCACCACCACCACCACCACCACCACCACCACCGCTACTACTACTTCTATTACTACAACTGCTACTGCTACTGCTACAGCTACTCCTACTCCCACTCCTACTCCTACTCCGACTCCTACTCCTGCCCCTGCTCCTCCTACTATTGCTGTTGCTGCTGCTACTGCTACCGCTGCCGCTACTACCACTACCACTAACACTGCCGCTGCTACTACCACTGCCACTGCCACTACTGCCGCTGCCACTGCCAGGGCCACTACCATGCCCACACCACTGCCACCGCCACTGCCACCGCCACTGCCACCACCACTACTACCATGCCCACGCCACTGCCACTGCCTCTACCACCACTATCGCCACTGCCACTGCCACTACCATGCCCACGCACTGCCACTGCCACTGCCACCACCACTACCAATACCATGGCTACGACGACGACAACAACTACTATTCAAGCTGTTGCAACTACTGCTTACAGCTAGTCCTACAGTGTTCTTGCTATTGCTCTCCGCCTTGATTGAAGCCTTCCGCCTGTGAGGCGATGCAGGATCTGCAGCGGACCTCTAGGAGCATCGGCGAGGTGCTCCAGAGACCTGGCGCTTGAAGCATTGACTCATTGACTGTTGTTGCTTCGCATTTTGTATTACTTGCGTAGGCTGGAAAAAGCAGGTCTGGCGTTGATGCAAGAATGCCGTACAGCCATCCCGGAGTCTGGTTGTTGCTCTTCCCTCTGCATTGCTGTAGCGTGGGCACACTTGAGGACAAATGGCTGCCGGGTGGTGATGTGTGGTTGACGAGTGAATCCCAATGTCGATCTGCTGCCCTGCACTCAGGACCGAATATCGCCTGTCGCAGAGGTTTACAACGCGCCCACAGCCGTTGTCGGACTTCTTCGCAGCTGGTCGCATTTGTTGCCCTGATCCGGAGTGGGCGAGCGTGGGTCTGTGCAGGAACCATAGGCTCAGCCACCAACTGCTCAGAGTAGAGTTGTGCCAGTGTAGTGGAGTCTTCCACATGTGTTGTTGGCGAGGAAGGCATCCGGGCCGTTTTAGTCGACAAGGACAGAAAGCAGCATCTTGGATTGCAGACTTGTCTGTTGGAAGTCGTCGTTCAGTTGGTGCCACGGATTATTTCAAAGGAAGTGGAACCCTTCTTGGGATTCACTGGACGAGGTTACGGAGGAGAAGGCCAGCTTGCAATGCCCTTCCCAGCTTCCACGGTGCAGGACATCGTAGAGCTGTGCATCTCCGAGCAGGTCTCCGAATTCTTCTCTCCGCTCGATGCTGGCCATTCCCGAGGCGAGCTGCACTTGGAGGACGTTTGACAGTCTAGACTAACGACTAAGCGGAAAGCGGTGGTATCACGTGCGATGCTGTGCCAGGATATTTTTGCCTTCAGCACCTTGGCCGCAGGCACTTGCAGCGGCGGCTGGGCTTGTCAAATTGTCACCTTTCAGCTCAATAGCCATGTGGGTGGCACCAGGTGAATCCAGGCGATCTGCTTTTGCTGAGGTGCACCTAAAGTCCAAGTTGTAGAGAACGTTGATCTCGGAGACCCAGCAAAAGCTGGATTCCCCATTCGTCTGCGCCGAAGTCCGTGGTCGAAAATGCAGCTGCTGTAAGTGCTAGGAGCATGTATTGGCCTTCGACTCTTTGCAGAGCACGACAGAAAGTGATGTGACAATTCAAGCTACATCAATCAGGAGAGCCTGCAGGTAAATTCAAGTAAATGCTACTGAGCAGCATGCTTGCTCCTGGCTCGCCTGCACACTGTGTTGAATATGACAACATGCTGTCAAAGTTCCCACATGCCCCATGCGTATGCAACAGCTGCAGTGAATCCAGCTGTGCTGGTGGCTGAGCAGCAATCTTCATTCCAAACCAGGGCATTGGCGCAGGGCTGCATGTCCAGAGTCAAGCCTTAAATCCTTGCAGGATACGCCATGCGACCAAAGAAGTCACGGCGGAGGACATGCTTCAGGCCGCAAGCAGTTTCAGCCAAGCTGCATTGAGGGCCTCGAAATGTACAGGCTCCCCGATCAAGCTGTGAAGCCAAAGCCGAAGCTTGACTGTTGGAGCAAGGTGCGCGAGATTGATGTTGCACGGGCCCGGTTCTTGGCAGAGGCCGCCTGCCGTCATTGCTAGGTAGCTGCTAGGTTCTTGGATGGTGATGTTGGATTGTACCGTTATCCCATTTGAGACAGCAGGAGCTGTAGAAGTCTAGGGGTGAGGATGGAACGCTTCCGATCGTGGTCGAGCAGCTAGTTCCCACAGTTTGCCATGCAAGCAAGCACGGGTGCCATCGCCGCAGCATTTTCCACACGCGCTGCGATCTAGGTGGGAAGATCATATCATGTCTTTCGGACAGCAGTAATACGCCGTCACACAGCCGGAGACAACTTGCCCGCAGCTGGCATTTAACTTATATGTAGATTCCGCAGAACATCCCACGTCTCAATGTATTGTGAACGGCAGGAGCAGGACTCCAGGACCTTTCTGCCTGTAAGCATCCTCTAAAGCCTTGCGCCGCAGCTGTCTGCTTCAGGCGCCCTGCACGCAAGAGAAATGCCAGCTAGGGCTGCTGATGCGGGACGATGTGGGGCATGCCCGGCGACAGCCTCAGTCAGAAATGACTCGCGCATCCGCTGTCGCTTGGAGGCCTCCTGTGCGATGCCTCCTGTGCCACCATTGGCCTTGACGTCGCCGCATGGCCTTGGGGTGACGACCCCGCAGCTGCGGCTGCAAGTGGAGTGGAGGGATGTGACGAATTAGCGCTTGAAAAATCGTTCGCTCCGCAGATTCTGAGGCGGAGCTTGAGCAGCCGTCCGACACGGCCAAGCACCGTCAGATCCCTAGTTTACCGCCAGCCCTCCGAACTCGAAGACCGCATGGCAATAGCATCGCAACTTGCTTGTCATTTGCAATTGCGAATGCTGTCGTGTGACCCAGGGAGGCAGCTATCAGCCACCGGTTGGGGCTTTCTCTCGCAGCGCACGGCACATCGTGACCCCACAGGCGTGGTTTGCCAAGCCGATCGGGTCGAAGCGTCGCGATGTCATGCAGTGTGGTAGTAGGAGAGTGGGAGAGTCGCCGACTTCCAACATTGCAATGGTATTCGTAGTGACCGCACTTCAATTCGATCCCGGTGCGGCCCAGCCCTTTGTTCTGAAGGTACTCGTAGCTTCTGTGCGCAACGAACAACGTCACTTGACCTAGTGTGAGCATGTCCAGACTCCTTTTTCACTTCCCCCACAAGAGAAGGTCCATGCATCTATGCAGGGAGCTACAGTAGCACAACGTGTCTCTCATCTCCGGACCTGGCTCCATTCCAGGTGGGGCTCTCTGCTATGGTCCAAGCCCTGGGAGACCTGAAGGCTCCGTGGGCCACGTCCTCAGAGGGTGAAGGCAGCAAGTTGATCCATTCATCTGAAGTGGAAAGAGAGCTGGAAGCTTACAAGTAGCTGCATGATTTCCCTGCAGGCAGACATTTCTCACTGTTTCTGTCTGTCGATCTATCTGTATGTGCTTCTCTCCGTTCCAGCGCCATAATACGAAGAGTAATAGCAAAAGTAATGGCAACAGTATGAACAATACCCGCAACTATAGACATAGTGCCAATGGTACTCGTAATCTAAAAGTCTCCAGGGTGGTCCTGCCTGCCCCCATCGGATTCGGACCATCGTGCTCTCCACGGTTTTTGTGCATAGACATGTCAATGCGTTTGCCTGCACGTGTTGATGTAATATGTATGTGTGTATACACGCATAATATATATATATATACACATATATGTATATACATAATACAGATATTGTATATATATATATATAGACATGTATACATACATGTATACTTACACGCGCATGTGCACGTGCATGTGTGTGTGTGT